ATACAAGCCACCTTATCATATATCATACAAGATAATAGAAATGTAAAAGAATTAATAGACAGTTTCAATATATAAGAGTTTATAAAATGAAGCAGAAGTCTAAACATCGTCTCAAATCCATCTAGTATATAAGAAGTGATCAGAATATAACCCATACATCACATACAATTTGAAAAGGAAAGACAAAATGAGATAAAGGCTTAGTCCTCGAAACACGAGGGCTCACCAATCTTCAAACGTCGACTAAGAGATCCCTAGCCATGGAATTGCTAATCTGGAACGTCAGACCCTACATTTTTATAAGAAATGTAGGTAAGAGTATGCGTTAGTACAAAGATGTACCAAGTATGATAGCAATGCATAAAACATATAAATCATGCTTAAAAGAGACATTTTCATGATATGCAATGACCAAACTAAAACATGAATTAAAAGGGTTAGAAAACATAAGTCATAAAACATGGTCAATACAAGTTAACTTCTTTAAAGAATTCATGAGATACTTCTAAAAGTAACCTTAGTTCATTATTGTGGGAGATTTTACCTTTAATCGACATGTAAGACCATGTGAGCTATTAACATGGAATTCAGTGTCTACCCCACACTGAAAAGATGTATCCAACTTGTCAAGGTAAGACCATGAACTTCTAGCTATAGTGGACCCACTAGCTAATGTCTATCTAGACAACCTATAATGACGCATAGTTTATGGGATATGGATAATCGTCACTTGTCCACTCGGTGCTAAGCATAAATCTCACGAAATATTGATTAGTCTTAACTTTTCTTATCATTAATAAGACATGGGTAATCACCCCTTTTCTTAGCATTTTGAGGTCATAGGTAATCGCCGCTTGCCTCATTATTAGAATAGCTCCTTAACTTTGATTCATTTTAGATGAGAAGACCTTTCAACCTTAGAATCCTTTATGTGAGAAAACCTTTCACAATCATGCTTTCATATGTATATGAGAAATCCTTTCATAACACAACAACACCAACATTGATACTTCACTCTCAAAGCATCCTTAAAAAATTTACATCAATTTCATAAGAACATGCATAATTTCATAAACTCATCTTTAATAGTTCAAAACCCACATTATATCTCATAACTTGGAAAACATGGGGTATGCATGGGTTCATGGGATTTCATCTCAAAATCATGGAATTATCTCAATGCATGCATAATGGTTCATAAAACAATCAAATAAATCAATATTGAAAAGAATCCAAAACCCTAACTTCAATTGGAGATTTCTAACTTCAAAATTGAGGAATTTGGGAACTCTATGGAGGAAAGGGCTCCATAGATGAAGACTATCATGCCAAAAGCTTGACTTCAATAGAGGACTTGGAGAATTTTCTTGAAGCCCTAGCCTTCTTCTTCAACCTTCTAGAGAGAGAAATATTTGAGAGAAGGAACTTGTTCTTCTTTTGAGATTTGAGAGAATGAATTGATTTAGAAGACTTTGGGGGATTAAGAGCCCGTTTGGATTGACTTAAAAAAAGTAACTTTTAAAAAGTAATTTTTCAAAGTGCTGGAACTTATTTTTAAAATAAGTAGTTATGTGTTTGGATAAAAGTGTTGCAGTTGAAAAAAAAAGTTGTTGATGTGTTTGGCAAATAAGTGCTGGTAAACACTTTTTTTATCAAAATGTCTGAAATACCCTTTAAGTTGTTAACATGATGAAAAGTTGATTAATTTAAGGTTTTTATACTTTAAAAAAAATTAAAACAAAATTAATTTATATTTTACATCCATAAGTAATAATATTTTCCTATCATTCACATATTTCTTTACCACCACAAATTATTTATAAGAGGAATAATAATAATAATAATAATAATAATATAATAATAATATAATAAAATAATAATAATAATAATGGTAATAATAAAAAAGTAATAATATAATAATAATAATAATAATAAAAAATAATGATAATAATAAAATAATAATAATAATAATATAATAATAATAATAATATAATAAAATAATAATAATAATAATGATAATAATAAAATAGTAATAATAATATAATACTAATAATAATAAAATAAAAAAATAATGATAATAATAAAATAATAATAATAATAATAAAATATCACATATTTCTTTACCACCACAAATTATTTATAAGAGGAATAATAATAATAATAATAATAATAATATAAAATAATAATAATAATAATAATAATAAAAAAATAATAATAAAATAATAATAATAATAATAAAATAATAATGATAATAATAAAATAATAATAATTAAAAAAATAAAATAATAATAATAATGATGATAATAATAATAAAATAATAATAATAATAAAATAAAAAAATATATAATAATAAAATAAAATAATAATAATAATTAAAAAAATAAAATAATAATAATAATAATAATAATAAATAATAATAATAATAATTCAATATGGGCAATTTGGAAATTGTATAAAAGAATTAAGGGCAAAAAGGTAATATACTTGGTCAACATAAAAAGGCTTTTAAGTTAAAAAAAAAAGAAGCTCCCCTCCCCTAGCTTTTAGCTTTTGGCTTAAAATAAGTCACTTTGATAATTGTCAAACACTCTAATAAGTCAAAAACTGGCTTTTAAGCCAGTTTGACCAGCTTAAAAGCCCATCCAAACAGGCTCTAAAAACGTTTATATAGGCTTCAAATAGATGATAAAACGATATAGCATTAGGATAGAATAATTAGGAAAGATCCAAAAGCCCCTTTAAAAATGACCGTCGACGGGGACCTATGATTCGTGGGTCCACCTACGGATCGTCCTGGTCGATCGTTGATGGGTTCAGAAACTATGATTTTAGACCTTTGACTGACGGGACCCATGTACAGTCCGTGAGGCCACCTACGGTTCGTACATGCCCAGTTGTGGGTCTTACTTTTGGCTCTAAAATTTCACTAAGTCTGAGACTCACCTACTAGACCTACCTACGACTCGTACATAGGTCGACGGACCATCCCTGGTGAACCATCGGAAAGTATTGGAACTTGACATTTTGAAAAAACTTTTGTACTGCCACCCACGAAGCGACCTACGGTCTGTGTGTCAGTCCACGGGCCTTTGGTGGCTTCGTTGGGACTGGCACCAGATTCTACAAAAAGATGCAATTCTATCTTTTTTTTTATTCGAGGTGTTATAATTTTTAAAAAAATCACATAAACAAAATATTTTTGATAGCAAATTGATAGGGATAAATGTGCAATCTAATATTGAGAAAAGACATAAAATAACACTTGAAGTCATCCTGAATTTTTAAAAAGACATCTTAACTTGGCATGCGTCCTATTACCCCACGAAACATTTCAAATCATAATAAATACATACTTTTTGTACAACTTGTATTCTCAATGCCCGAGTGTGTGTCTCACCCCCCAATAATAATATTATAATGTTTTTTTTTATTTTTTATCTTCTTTGATTTATTTCTTTATTTTCCTCTCTTTTTTCTTCAATTCATCTTAAACCAGCCATTTGTCCCTCTTTGTTGACAATTCTGTGGCATGATTACCATCACCACCATTACAATAACACTAATTTCACTGTGTCTAACATCAAATCACCACCAAATAAAAATAAAATTGAAAAATCAAATCCTACCAAATTAAATTTTGACAAATTAAAATCTCTATCAAAATCTCAATTTTGTGTACTTTTCATTTGATTTTTGCTCTAAATCAAGAAAATTTATTTTTGCAACGACGAAAACTCTCTCCGAATTTAGATGGGTAATTCTTACTTGGTCTGGACAGGATTCCACCTCGGATCAAGGATCACCTGAAACAACACCAACAATTCTGTCTTCGACGTCGCCTTCAATCTTTCCGACGCTTCTCTCACCGAGATCTTTCTGATTTTTCTGTCATCTTATTTCACTTTCATCTTTTTTTCTTTTCAATAATCTTATTAACTCTACTCTACTTCTTATTTTTGAATGTCATAACCTTATGTATCTTAGATTTTTCTCAAAATTTTGTCGATGACTCTATTTTTGACATAATTTTCATTCTCCTTTACCTCGAATAACTCAGCTTGAAATTCAATTTCTCCTTGCTGGTGAAAGTATTGTGGCTTAGCTAATGGTCTGGAAATTTTGGGTCTATGAAGATGAAGAATAAGGAAGAATTGAAAATACAACAAAATAAATTGAGTAAATTAAAGAAAATAGAATTTCTAATTAAATAAATATTAAAATTTAAAAAATTCAAATTGGCAGTGCTATATGTTTTCTTACATTGGTGTGGGTGTGTATTTTTGCTGCACTTTCTCCCCAAGGTCCGGTGCAGGGGACATGTCCGAAAGTCCTCTGAAAAAAGAGGACGACGGGGGAGAGGCTGATGCGGCGGAGTCATTTTCCTCGGATAAGTTGAGGTCTATCAAGCGTGAGAACACAATTGTTGTGAAGACGAGTTAAAAGTGTTTATTTATTGTTATTTGAAATGGTTCTATGAGGGTAATAGGACCCCTGCAAACTTTAGGTGTCTTTTTGAAAAATCGAAACAACTTCAAATGTCACTTTATGTCCTTTCTCTTTACTATTTTAATACATGTATAATTAATATCCACATAACTTATTTTACCTTTTGTCCACACATAAATTATAGTAGATTCTCTCATAAGTTATATAAGTATTAATTATGTAGGATTACAAAAAAATACAAGCAAACACCATATAAAATTAACAAATGAATAATTTTTACATAACATTTAAAACCTCACCAATTGAATATTATTTAAAATTAATACATATCCTATTTGCACACCAAAATGAATACATATGTTAACTTTGCCCCAATGGAGAAACTAAAAGCCCCGTAGTGCATGTTGAGGAGAAAGAAGAAAAGACAAAGTAGATTATTATTAATAGTAGTTTAACTGAAAATAAATAAATATATATGTTGAACACCCTCTTTTTTCTGGACAAAAAATATAGTTCGTAGTACTACTAAAAATTTTGATTTTTGATTCCTGGTGGGTACTCTTCTCTTTTTCCCCCTCTTTTTTTCCTTTTTCAATCTTTGGAGGGAAATATTTTTCGTTCAAACATTAATTTGAACATCTTCTTCTTTTTCAGATTGTGTCGCTGGTAAAAACCCTAATTTTTCGTTTTCATGCTTCACTCGCTTCTTCAATATTTGAGCTCCTTACTCGCAGGAACTGATTTATTGCTTTATCTGTGCTCATTTTGAAGTTTATACTCTAGGTATGTGGATGTTTCAGCTCCTTTTATAGCTTAATTCAACTCTCCTTTTTGCTTATTTGCTTTTTAGGGTTTTGAATGACATTTACTTAGAAAGTTAGAATCATTTAACTAGTTAATTTTCTGGGGGTCGAGTCTGAAAATCTTCTGCTTTTCTTCAATCTTGAGAAATTAAAGATTGAAATGCTACCTATGGAGTACTTACAAATCTGATTCACTCAACTATTGATGCATTTAGTCTATACACATGTCTTTCTTTTTCCCAGACTTTGAATACTCTTCTTTGGTTATATTTCAATAAGCATCCAGGAAACCATAGTCTTTTCCAATAGACTTGGCTTGCAAATGGCGTATAAAAGTTTCAGGGATGACCTATGACACTAGTTGTTGTTCAATATATGGAGATTCAAGTGAATGATAAACATAATAGCATTAGCATCTCCAAGAGCAGGTTTGTACAGATTGTAACAGGCACAGTTTCCCAAAATTAAAAGATTAGCAAACATCTTTTGAAAGATCTTCAGATCAGCATATTCTATGTTTGGGGTAACTAGTTAATTGATTACTTATTCAAAATATAGTTTATTGCTCGAGGAAGTTGAAATTCATAAACCTTTTTTAGTCATTCGGGACTTATCAGAATATGTGTAAAAAAATTGATTTCATGATCTTCTTTATTTGTCAATGCATGATAAAAGTAATTTTAAAACGTGAAATTCATTTAATCTCCAAGGTTTTTATTTCTGCTGGGCCCTGAAACTCTAGCCCTTCACCCATTTAGATGTCTTGTTTGCTTGGTTGGGTCAAAACCTCTAATAAAGGGAATGATGCTCAAGGAATTAGTATTGTTAAACTCTTATCAAGTGTCTATACCTGAAAATTTCCTTTTTGAGGTTTAGTTTCCTTATTTTTATTCTGGATAGGTAAAGCTAAGTTTCTTTAGAGAGATTCAAAACACATGTTATTTTGTCTATGGTGCTGCATTCAGTTGCATTTGTTAAGAATTCTTCCCTATTAACTTTTTTTTGACAACTGAGAAATCCCCAAGGACAGTGACATGGTTTGAAAGTTGATGGATAATGGGCCACCCCTTTACCTTGTCTACTTAAATACTAGGCTTTTTGTCTTCGGCAAGGTTCAAACCTGTGATGCGTGCCTAACTCACACATCATGCATTGTGCTCTTATCACTAGACCAAAGCTTTGGGGCCACATTGCTACCTACTAACTTATGCAATATACCTTCATGCATGGAATGACATAGTACTGTGCACATACACTACAGCTACTTGTTGACCCCTCTTAAGAAAAGGAGTAATCCTCTTAACCAATGCTTTTAGAGTTTGACAATTGGTATTTGAATTTTTAAAGCTCTTGTGAGAAAGACTGTAAAAGTCTTATTACCTCGCCGAGTCTTAACTCATGAATTGTTGGGTTTTACCTTCAGCTTAGATTTTTTTTTCCTATTTAATTTATGGGTATGTTGATCGATGTGTTGTTTGATACTTGCTTTCTGTCCATCTTTGAGCATGTTGTCTAAGTTGTGTATATGTATAAAGCACCATCCTTTTAAGCTACAATGAGTTGAAAGTATTAATATCTGCTATACATGGTAACAGTGGTTTGTCTGCAGAAAATGTTGCTAAATGATGCAACCTGTTTTCAAGTCATCATTATATGCAATGAATTATCAGTTGTACATGCAGAGAGACTTCTGTGGCTTTATACAATTATTCAGAGAGATTTCATGGTCATTCTGTATTTACTTCGCTAAAACTTGTAACACACTGTCTATATCTATTTCTTAACTGCAATTCTTTCCAGGAGACTATGTGTCCTTGAACAAGGAGTGATTCAATTCTTCTCTGTCACAATTCTTTAAGCAGGATAAAGCATCTGTAGAGTGGACTCTGCTGTAGTTAGATATGCAGACTAAGAAAAAACTAAATGGGAGAAATCCACGAGAGCTGGCTAGTCCAAAGGTTTCAAGGCAGCAGCGAAAGATGTCCGAGAAAGTGCAAACTGAGGCAAAGCAAGTTAAGGAACTTATAACATCTTCAGTAAGGAAGCAAAAATCAGGTAAGTATTATATGGAATTCATCCTATGATGACCAAGTAATTTGATTTATTTGATCTTTAGCTTAAGATGCCCACTTGACGTGATATTTGGGGCATATTCCGAATAGTTAAGTAGGTTTTGTTGCTGTTTCTGTTATTCAAGCTTCATCAGAATCTGTCTATACTTCTTTTTGCATGTATTACCAAGTCAGAAAGCTTCTGATTCAAAGTGTTTGAGATGCGGAAATGATTTAATTAGAATTTTTCTGTATTTATATCCGTAATTGCTTCCTGCTTTCTTTTGTTGTTTTCCCTATATTATTCTTTGATCTCAGTTGTTTCCACATAGAGAAGTGACTGTTCTCTCCTGGAAAACCATCTAACAAGAAATAAAATCTAAAAATGGTACAATTTGAAGTGATTTTCCATATGCTTTCACCACCTTTTGTATCCCTCTGCATGCTTCCGTTACTCCTTGGAAACAATCACTGAAATATGGTGCAGGAATTAACCTTCCATGGTCCTAGTCAATGCATAATGTTTTCCCAGTTAATTAACTTCCTTGGTGTTGACTCTACTCCTTGTTTATATTCATATAGTCCTGGAAGAGCACATTTGTTTATCTGGGGCAACTCACCTCTCATTTGCTATATTTGTGTTTATAGGAAGCAATTTTTCCAAAAAGATTGAGAATCATGTCGTCAGTACAGATTTGGATATAAGGTTTGGGTTGGTGGCTGATGCTACTTCTGCTGCTTCAGACGCTCATGATGTTGTTCATGATTATAATACCATTACTATTAATAAGGTGATGATTTACATTTGCTTTATGTGGTTTTGTTTGGGAGTCTTAGCTCACCCTGTTAAATGTAGATGCTTTAAAGTGAGAATTGCAATAGAATGGTTGTTGTTATGTATTATCTAATTATTTTTCTTAATGTAGGACTATGATGGTGAAAGTGATAGTTGCAGAACTGATACAATATTTTCTCCCACCTTCCATATATCCAGAAGTGTTGGAGGGGAAATTTCTAACTGTGGTAGGTAGATGCTTTGGCAATTAACTGTTGAGAAGGTTTCTGAATTAACATTCTGACTAATTGTTCATCTTTCAAAATCCTATCATATTTTTTCCTCAGCAGACTTCCTCAAATTCTTCCAGCAAGCAGACCAGCCATTGCAGGAGCCTGGAAAAGAAAATATAGAGGTTGATTTGCTGACAAGTCATTTTGTGCTAGACGAGGCTGCAGGTAAGGTTTTTATGTGATAGTACAAATGCTGCTGGTAATGTCAGACATAGTCATGATTAGTCAAAATTGAATATGACTTCTGATGCTTTTTCCAATTGCCAATTATGTGCATTTGGCTTTTTTACAGATTTAGGGGACCAGCATATGCCATCTGAAGTTTCAGCTGTGCATCTCTCTATCAAAGATTCAAAACTGGAATGCATTGATGAATTTAATCAAGTTCAGTTGCCTGCTGATGTTAATATGGAGGAAGAGGAAACTGAAGAGTTTGATGACTTCGATCCATATTTTTTCATTAAGAATTTACCAGACTTGTCCTCAGTTGTTCCAACATTTCGGCGTGTGTTGTTGCCTAAACAGACACGGAGTTGCCCATCAACCACTCTTGTTTTGGACTTGGATGGTATTGCAGTCTATATTCTCAAGGCTAAACTAATTGTTTCCTTCTTTTGTGGTCTGTTCCAGTAATGTTCAGTTTCAACAAGGGAAAATGATAGGTTTTAGACTTTTAGTACATATCCCAAAAGTAAAATGGTTTTAAGTAAAATGGTTTTCTTTTTTCTTCTCTGGAAAGTGGTGTCCTTTTCTCCTCAAGTAATTGTGGTCCATAGGCATTCCTCAATCAGTATAATCAACTCCTCTTAAAAAATTTTGAGCCAAAACAAGATATTAGTTGTGGTTCAAATCCCAACAGGGGCAAAAAAGAACACAAGGTGATCTCTTACCATCTACCTAAGCTTGAGTTACCTAGTGGAATAGCTGAGTACGCCAAACTGGCTAGAATATGTCCAAAAAGAAAGGATATTTGGTTGCGGATGGATATACAGTTCATATATGTATCAATTTTGCCGAATATGTTTTATATAGTGATTATCTTTATAACTGTTGTGTTACTTCTTTCTCCCTTGAGCTTAGTTGACCGTCATACTGCATTTCTCAGTGATGGGGATTCTCTATGATAGATATTCCTTCTCTCCTCTGATTAAATTTAAAAGAAAGAGAAGATATTCCTAATCTCCTACCAAGGCTATCTGTCCTGTATATGCTTACCATTTACATTGTGGAGTCTACTCCGATTACTACAAAAAAAACCAAGAGTGGAAGATGATGCCATTTCCTCCTTTAGGAAATTGTGTTGGACATACACATGCAAATTGCCGCATGCCCAAGTGAATATGTGATGCCTATTGAATTGTGCTCTTATGTTTGTACATCCGACATGGGTGCTATAGTCAATGCTTGTTGTTTTCCTTTTCAAACATCTACTCAGCTTTCCTAGTTAAATGGTAGCATGTGCTCATCATTTCTTATTGGGCATGTTAAGCTGAGTCCAATCTTTTGTATTTGACAGAGACTTTGGTGCACTCTACACTTGAACCTTGTGATGATGCAGATTTCACATTCTCAGTGAATTTCAATCTGAAAGATCATACCGTATATGTTCGATGCCGTCCTCATCTCCGAGATTTTATGGATAGAGTATCCAGCCTATTTGAGATTATCATATTTACTGCAAGCCAGAGCATTTATGCTGAGCAGCTTTTGAATGTGCTTGATCCAAAGAGAAAAGTATTTAGGCATCGTGTTTACCGTGAGTCTTGTATATTTGTTGATGGCAATTACCTTAAAGATCTTTCAGTTCTTGGCCGTGATTTAGCACATGTGATTATCATCGACAACTCTCCTCAGGTGCTGTGTCAGAATCCCTCTTTGCTAAATAATGTTCCTTTAATAAGATTGATCCATGCTCTACCTGGTCTTTTCCATCTTTATTTCTTTCACACATTAAGTTCTGGTCCTTTGCTTCTTTTTTCTCAAGCAACCTGCACCATGAGCAATTACAAGAGCTATTAAACTTTTATGTTCATAAAAGCTGGAAAGAAACATGTTTATAGTTGGTTTCTTCCCCTGTTTCTTGAAATGATTGAACTGATAATCTTGCTAAGTAGTATTGCTGAAAGCTTAAATCTTACCATTTAAAAACAAAAGTTGATGAAAGTTTATGTATCGCCTTCCTATTGGATTACTTTTGTTGAGCGTCATCTTATCTGGTAATGTGTTAATAATTTACAACTACTTGAGCACTTGTATGTGCTTTTGTGGGCAATTTACTCCTGTTTAGAATGTCATTCTCCACTTTGCTACCCTGATGTGTAGAGAGTTTTATTTGCAGGCATTTGGATTCCAGGTGGACAATGGTATTCCAATTGAGAGCTGGTTTGATGACCGTTATGACAAAGAGTTACCGTCACTGCTCCCATTTCTGGAAAGCTTAGTTGGAGTGGAAGATGTTAGACCAATTATTTCAAGCAAATTCAACCTTCGCGAGAGAATAGCTGCTGCTGTTTGTCCTTTTAACTCTATTAGAGGAGATAAGGCCGTGCCTGTATAGATTCAGTCTTGGTAACTTGAATTTTAGATTTCAATGGCTCTAGATGAGTTAGAGTAATCAGTTGTGAAGTGCCATTGTGGAAGCCAGTTTGCTAGGGAGGTTGGTTTGTTATGTTGGTTAATTTATGTAATTCTCATTTATCTTGTAATTGTGTCATAACGAATGGAGGAAAAAACTCTCTGAATAAGTTTATGTTTGAAACCTTGTGGTGAACATTAGTTGTTCAAATATTGAGTTGCCTAATTAATGTGTTTCCTCATTTATTTGTACTTGTTGTGTGTATGAGATACATAGCATTTCAGGTAGGGTCAAGGTGAGAATGCAATATGGTGATTAATGTGATATCGCCTATCTGTAGTGTGATATTGCTTTGCCTCTGGGCTGACTTACAGAAATTTTAGTTTGTTACTATTCACTTCAGGGGACAACAAAAGAAATCCTTCTTGTGCGTTTCCTTGTTTTAAAACATTATTACTAAGAAAATTATACTAGTTTTCTTAGTAATCAAGAACTATGCCTTTGGAGCGTTGGCTTCCAAAGATTTCTAACTAAGAATTCCACAAACCATAAACAAAGAAGAAGAAGAAGATACATTAAATAGGTATAACTTAATCCTAATGGAGTAGCTCAAAAAAAGGAAAGTAGTGAACAATATTTGTTACCTGAAATGCACCAAAACTAGAAGAGAAAGGGATCAGATTCAAAGAATGAAAGGGATGTAAAATTGATCCATCTTTTTAGGAGAAGATAATACTCTTATAAGATTTTTCATGGAAAACACTTTGCACACAAGGTTCGTTAATAAAGGGACGAAAATGAAAAAATAAGGACTCCTAATTAGTTGATTTAATAAAGAAAAGAATTGTTATAAGTTAATAAAATTTAAAGTTTTAAATGTTAGGAGTAGGACTTTTAGAGATTGTTTGACATTGTTACTAAACTGCAAGCACTTTTTTTAAATAGCTTTTCAGAAAAGTGATTTTGAGAAAAAAAACAATTTGTGTTTGACTAAATCATTGAAATGTGCTTTTGATAAGCAAATTGTATTTGATTGATCTTTAAAAAAAAAAAAAGCTTTTAAGAGTCAAATTAAAGAAAAAAGGAGTGTATTTTTAATATTAAGATTAATTTGTAGAGAGATAATATTTTAAATATCCATTACAAATTTTTTAATTAAATTTAAATGTAAATATTTAATTTTTTTAATCAATATTATATATAGATAAATAAATAAAATATTAATATAATATTAACATGATGATTTAAATATAATTAAAAATATGGAGCAAAATAAATTGAAAAACCATTCTACAAAAAATAATACGTATTGCTTGTTAAAAAGGATTCTACATAATTTAATGGTAGAAAAATATTAGGGAAAATTGTATATAATATCAAACTATTAATTCAAATTAAATGCAATAACCATAGTTTGATTTAATTGTACCCCGAAGCAAACTGTTGCTATTTCGCCTCTCTCCCTGGTGAATCTCGCTCGCCACTCTCGTTCTTGCTGGGCAGTCTCGCTCGCCTCTCTCGCTTTTATACAAATACAAATGTATAAAATGTGTTTGTGTTTGTATAAAGCGAGAGAAAATTGTATATATACATATATTTTCGTTTTCCTCTCTCCCCTCTCCTAGATCTCGCTTGCCACTCTCCCAGATCTCGCTTGCCACTCTCCCAGATCTCGCTTGCCACTCTCCCAGATCTCGATCACCACTCTCTCTCGCCTCTCTCACTTTATACAAACACAAATGTATACATTGCGTTTGTTTTTGTATAAAGCAAGAGAAAATTGTATATACAAATACAAATGCATATATTTTCATCCTATACACTTATGATTATACAAATACGATCTTCCCTGGCCAATTTTCTTTTGTCTTTCTCTCTTTCTCGCTTTATACAAACAAAGATTATACAATTGATTCTTTTGTATATGTATACCGAAACACATTATACAATTGCTTCTTTTGTATATATGTATAGCGAAATAGCCATAGCAAACATAAAGTTTGCTATGGAACGCAATTATGCAAACTGTAGTTATAACATACAAATATGATTTTTGTGTTTGCTATATGTGAAAGTTACTCAAAATATTATTGTTACCTTTATTTTTAGGAAAAATTACTTAAATACACAACACTTCTTTACCTATTCTCAATATTTTCCTACTCTTTTACTAAAATACAAAAATCCCTTATTTTCCCCCAATTCAACTTAACCGGATACTTTATTAGTTTAAGTATCCGCCCGTTAATTAAGTATCCGTGCTGCTAACAACTTAATAATTTAAGTATCCGCCCGTTATTAATTAAAGTATCTGCGCTGCTATATTATGCATCCGCCCGTTAATTAAGTATCTGTGTTGCTAACAACTTAATAATTTAAGTATCCGCCCGTTATTAATTAAAGTATTCGCGCTGCTATATTAAGTATCCACACTGCTATATTATGTATCCGAAAAACACTAAAAAAAAGGATTTTTGGTAATTAATGAAAGAGTAGGGAAATGAAGTAATTTCTTTCTTATACTATGTCATTTGCCTAATTTTTACTTATTTTTAATTTAGTATTTGATGTATGTATGAAGTTTGGCACATGGACATAAGCAGAATAGCCCATTAACCCGAAATGATTTGGCCCATTTAAGCATTTGGAATTGTGAGGGTTAGGAGTTGGGGCTTCAAATCACATTGGCGAATAGGTGGAGCAGCTAAGGTATGTATGTATATTCTCAGATTTCAAAGTTGTAGGGTTTTCGTCTGACAGTTGGATTTGCAGAAGAATGGGATTCATAATGGAATTTGCGGAGAACTTGATTCTGAGATTAATGGAGGATCCAAAGGAACGAGATCGCAAGTTTCGTCAACATGTCTATGCAACTAAGGCCAGGTGCGACAAGACTTTGGAGATGTGGAGTTATCCTCTCCGTCCCTATGGTTTCTGGACCTTTGATCGCCACAATGCTCAGAATTTCTGGGACCCTCAGATCAGCCAAGTCCAAGGCCGTCGCGATCCTTATGACGACCTCCTTCAGCATGAAAAATGACTTTCAGGTCAGCGATAAACCTCTGTCACCACCACTTGCGCATTTATATGTTATCTAGCAATACACTATGGGAAGTGGGGTCTAGAGGTGCTGGGGGTTGGGATGGTCAGGGACGGGATTGAGTGGAGACAATAAACTTGGAATGTCACTTATGCAACTTGATTAGGGAAGTCATTTTCTTCATTACATTTTGACCAATCAAACATAGGAATTGGAAAACCTTTCCTAGAAAATTGGATAACATTGTCCTCCATACCAAACACACCGCCTTCTACTTTGGTTTTTGTTTCTTTTAAATACAAGTTCCCACTATACGGACTGGAGGATCATGCTGCAGTTTACTGAAAGAGAGAATTGTCAGATCTAGAATTCTAGACAGTTGATACCAAATTCATTGATTTGGTTTCTTGTAATCCAAAAAAGAAAAAAAAACACTGGTATGTTTCCTGTAGCGCATTCCTCTAGAGCTTAATTTGTTTTTACTCTGATGCACTAGCAAGATATTTTTCATCATTCCCACATTAAAGATTCTAAACTACTCATCCTGGAACTTTATGAATAGCTTTATCTATTATTATTTTGACCAACCTTCGACTGAAATATGGGCAAAAAGGGAGTGGTCAGTCTGACTCTTACCTTTCGAAGCGTGGAAATGTAAGTACTACGTAGGAAGTGCCATTGTTGTATTTTTTGGTGAAGTAATGAAATTATATTAGAAAGGCATCAAGGAGATGCAAAGTTACAAGGAAAATAAAGAGCTGCATCAAAACAAAATAAAAATGAAGCTAGCTGAGCAAAAATTTGTAAACTGCCAAAAGGGAAATCCCCAAAATCCTACTATGCTAGAGTTAGGGAACTAACAAAATCCAAAAAGTTATCCACACTGTTTACAGGGGAAAGAAAGTGCCAATTGAAGAGAGTAGATAAACATTTAGTCTTGAGGGGGCTAGTGTGAGTTGAGATTCCATCAAAGACTGCGCAATTTCTTTCTTTCCAAAGACTCCAAAAAATAACTGCTGGGATCACCCTCCATAGCCTTTTCAAAGTCTTGTTAATTCTCCAGCCTATCCAGTTAGCACATACATCTTTAATGGAGAAAGGCATAACCCATTGAAGACCAAACACAGTGTGGGAAAAATGCCACAAGTCAGTTGCTGTAGGGCAGTGTAAAAAGAGATGGTTAACAGTTTCTTTATCCTTCCCGCAGAGGTGGCATCTGTTGATGAGGATGATCCCCTTCTTTCTAAGATTATCTTGAGTTAGACAGACCTTATGGATGGCTATCCAGGTAAAACAGGAAACCTTAGGTTGTCTGGTTCTCCAGATGCGTTTCCAGGGAAAAACATCAAGGATGCCATTCCGTGAACACCAAAAATTATAGCTCTCCTTCACAGTATAATTCCCTTCCTTGGTGTTGCCCCAAAGTAATCTGTCTATGGTTTGTTCATCTAGGTTGCATTCCTCCAGAGTATGTAGTAGTGAGAGGACTTCATTGATCTCCCAGTCCTGCAAGTTTGTTCTGAAAATTGGGATCCAAATGTTGTCTACTCTGTATTGGGGCAATTGCAGCATTCTTGTTAGTGGCTATCAGGTATAGCATAGGAAAGGACTCCTTTAGTATAGTGTCACCAAAGCATTTGTCTTGCCAAAATTTTATCTTGAGTCCATTACTAGCTGTGAAAAACACTTGGAAAAAGTTATCTTGGAGATGTTTTTTTTGAGAAAGTTAACATTTTATAGACAAAATACATCAATAGTGTATTCTAGTAGTAGTTACATCTGGAGTTTACAGTAAGCAAAACCAAAGAAATCTACCACCTATATCCCTCCTAAACTATCTAGAAACTGAGTAATATCCTCCACCTTTTTGGGGAGTACATAGTTACACCAAAAAAAAAGGTCATAAGACAATTTAACTTCAGACTTTGGAAAGGGATGCTCTTGTTTTCAAAACATCTTTGGTTCCTTTCCCTCCATATTGTCCACCAGATGCAAACAGGGACAATCTTCCATCTCTCTTTGTGGCCGGATATATTTCCTTCTCTATTCCAGCATGTTAGAGCTTCGGGGGTATGCCTTGGCATGGACCAATTGATACCCCCTAAGTTAAAAAACACCTGCCATAGTTTCTCTGTCACTCTACAATGGATGAAGAGATGGTTTGTGTCTCTATTTCTCTTTCACAAAAAAAATATCTGGAACATAATTGTCTTCCCCTTTTCATTAGATTGTCCTGAGTTAGTACTGCTTGTCTAGCTACTAACCAGGTGAAACAAGCCACCTTGTGAGGTACTTTAACTTTCCATATCATCTTCCAAGGCCATGGTAAGAGCATTGCAGCTGACCTATCAAGGTGTCTGGTGAATTTCCCATTATTGGCCCTCAACCAGTGTAGATTATCTTTATTAGGTTGAAAGTTGATGGCCTGCTCAAGAGTATTGTAGAAATCTGTTAGGCTGTCAATCTCCCGGTCATTTAATATTCTCCTGAAAGAGAGGTTCCATCCTTGGTTGTCCTTGACATCTGCTACTGTTGCCTCCTTCTGTTGGTTCAAATTATAGATCACCGGGTACAACTGTTTTAAGGGATATTGACCAACCCACACATCATTCCAGAATGATGTCCTCCTTCCATTTCCTATTACAATTCTTAAGTTTCCCCACATTTTAGGCCACTGATTCCTGATTGTTCTCCATAGACCTACCCCATAAGGGCTTCTAACTTGCTTAGTGATCCATAGGCCTTCCATTGTGTATTTGGAAACTATAGCATCTTTCCACAAACCTTGTTCCTCTGAGACAAACCTCCATAGCCACTTCAATAAGAGACTTTGATTCTGTACTTTGAGGTTCTTTATGCCCATTCCCCCTTCCTTTTTACTGTTGGTCACAACTTCCCATTTCACCAAGTGATACTTCTTTTCCCCCTCTCCATTCCTTGCCATAAAAAATTCCTCCGGATGGAGTCTAGCTTCTCTAAGACATTCCCTGGCAAAGGAAATAGAGACATCATATAAGTTGGCATAGTATCAAGCACACTATTAATTAGGATCAGTCTTCCACCCAAAGATAGGTATTGACTTCTCCAATTTACGAACTTTTTTTCACACTTTTCCACCACTGCATTCCATATGTTCCTTGACTTACTCATTGCCCCGAGAGGCATCCCTAGGTAGGTAGTAGGCAATTCTCCCATTTTACCTCCTAGAATATCAGCCAGACTGTTGATGGCTGAAACTTCATTCACTGGGTAGATAAAACTGTTGCCCCAGTTTATGTGCAATCCAGAAACAGCTTCAAACAAAACAAAGATGACCCTTAGATACTTCAGTTGCTCTTTCTCTGCCCCACAGAACACTAAGGTGTCATCAGCATATTGCAGATGGGAGATATTTAAGCCCAGAATGTCACATAGCGAGTATAAATAGGAAAGGGGAAATGGGGTCCCCCTGCCGTAGTCCTCTTTCAGAATGGAAAAAGCCAGAGGGAGTACCATTAATTAATACTGAGAATTTTACTGTACTCACACAGTATTTTAACCAGTTTATCCATCTATTTCCAAAACCTATCCTCACAAGTGTATTCCACAGAAGGTGACCCCCGGGAAGTCCTCGTGTTGCATCCCTCCTTTATTTCTAAAAAAAAAAAGTGTATTCCACAGAAAGTTCCAATTGAGGTGATCATATGCCTTTTCTATGTCCAACTTACATAGGAACCCAGGGACTTTATTTAAATTTCTCACATCCACACATTCATTAGCAATAAGTATGGCATCCATGATCTGCCTACCCTTAATGAAAGCCATTTGATGTTTATCCACCAGCTTGGACATCACTTTCTTAAGTCTTTCTGTTAGTAGCTTGGATATGATCTTATAGACACTGCTAACCAGGCTAATGGGCCTAAAATCCTTCAATTCTGTTGCACCCATTTTTTTTGGGATCAAAGCTATGAAAGTAGCATTAAAGCTTTTTTCAAAGTAGCCTTGACTATGGAAGTTTTGAACGGTTGCTATCACATCCGTCTTCACCACCTCCCAATACTGTATGAAAAATGCCATAGTGAAACCATCTGGGCTAGGAGCCTTATCTCCTGCACAAGCAAACACACACTCTTTGATATGTTGTTCTCCAAACTGACTTTGCAACATTACATTATCTTCTTCATTCAAAGTAGCTTGATCTGTGGGGCTGAACTGAGGTCTCCAGTGTTCATTCTCTTTGTAGAGGTTTTGGTAGAAATCTATGATCTCCTCCCTGATCATTGCTGGTTCTGATACATTAGCTCCATTGATCAGAAGACTATCAATGCTGTTGTATCTCTTGTGGCAGTTCTTCTGTGGAAGAATTTTGTATTTTTATCCCCCTCTTTTAGCCATATAGCCCTGGATCTTTGCCTCCATGCCACTTCCTCCTTTTTTGCCACCTCCTCAAACTCTACCTGTCAGAACAGCTCTCAGAAATGACTCATCATCAGACAAGCACCTATGAGCCTGGATCACATCTAAATCATAAAGCTGGTTTAAAATGTTTTGTTTCTGTAGACCTAGATTGCCTTGAACAGTCTGCTCCATTCTTTCAACTTCACTTTGAGGGATTTCAACTTGCAAGCTAGAATGTAGTCTGGTCTTCCCATAAAAATTTCAGAATCCCACCACCCCTTAATTCTCTCATTAAAATTTTCTGTTTGCAGCCACCAATTTTTGAATTTAAAATAGGAGACCCAGTTCCACATTCTAGTAGCAGAGGATTATGATCAGAAGTGACTCTAGGCATAATAGTTTGCTTGATTTTCCTGAAAGATACTTCCATTCTTCTGAGAATAGGAACCTATCTAGTCTTGCTGCTGTATCGTAGTTGTCTCCTTTTCTCCATGTAAAACTACCCCCTATGAGAGGTGGATCTTCTCGTTCCATATCCTCAATAAAGGCTGAGAAGTCCTCCATGGCTTTAGTGATTCTGATGCAACTCTTCTTCTCGGAAGGGAATATTACAACATTAAAGTCCCC